ACATGTGCCGCACCCCCACCCGCTACAAATCTCTCTACTACCTCTTCTATATTTTCGCGAGCCCCCCCGTGCTGTCCCCGTTCAATTGATGCGCGAATCCGGCCTGGGGAGGTGGCAGAAAATATAAGGGGGAAAAAAAAAAGATGCACTCCCCCCCCCCCCCCCCCCCCCCCGGACTGCCCCTCTACCCCGGGCTGGAGTCCTATTCCTCGGTAACCGAATCACGACCGAAGCGCTAATTACAAATTTATTTGAAACCTACAATCAGCGACAAAATTGTTGAGACACACCCCTCTCACAACACCCCTCCCCTGTCCCCTCCATTCAAAGTTGGAATGTTTGTTGTTTTCGTCGATACCTGCAGCAAAAATCAGCCAAAAAAAACAAAGATGGAAGAAAGATGCTTTAGAAGATACAGTCACACCTTTATATAACGCCCCTGTGTATAGTGGTCACCCTGTATTTTACGGTCACCGGACAACTTCCCGAAATTTTTAGTTGCCTTATATTTTCTGCAAAGTTGAGCTGTATATAGTGGTCACCCTGTATATAACAGTCACCTTGCCATTTCCCAAGGGTGACCTTGGTACACAGGTTTGACTGTAAACTCTAAAGTTTGTGAGGTTCATTCCTTGAAGTGTCCTGGAGGATTAGCTCACTTTTATCACCTCATAACACATGCTAACAATGTTTTATTTCTGCGTACGTACCCCTCTGAGCGGTTTTTGATGCGCATCGATATCCTGTTGCCTTGATTTTGAATCCAAGTCGAAATGTTTTCCAGCCATATTTTATACCGCAGTTTTTAATATAAATGTTCGTCACTTTCGAGACATTAACATCTTTTGCAGTAGTGGAGATGTCAAAATTGGACCATCGAAACCAATAAAACTTGTTATAGCAAAGCTTCCTCCACTCTGAAGTCTCGTTAAAGCACAAAGCTATGAGAGAACACCATTTCGACAGGCATTTGAGTATTTTTGAGTCTCTTTTGTAGTAATAGTAAGGAACATGACATTCCATGGCGTAATAAGGACCAGACGTTCCATTGACAAGTGATCGACAGTTTCCTTCTTCAAGTTCTTCGGATTGCAACGAGCAATACCCTCCTATGTCAACCAGAAAAACCAAATAAAATTCAACGGATGTTACTAAAACAGGGAACGGTGAGCGGGAACGAGTACGAGGAACGGGAAAATGAAAAATGGGAGCAAAAAGAGAATTGGAATTGAAATGTTAGCATTAAAATAGGGTTTTGTTCCCATTTTTCATTTTTCCCGTTCCCCAGTGCTAGTTCCCCGTTTTAGTAACATTCAAATTTAACACAGGGCTTTCTTTTTTCTTGTTTTGTTTTTGTTGTTGTTGTTGTTTGTGAGCCAATCTTTGTGCTGTATCTACCTGATCAGCCTCTTCCTCGGGCGCTTCGTTTTCCGCACTGCACAGAGGCGAGCGCGAAACGCGAGTGACTGGTAACGAGGCGTAAGGGACTATGGGAAGGAGTCTCTCCTGTTTTCTCGTTCCCGCCTTCCGTTGCGCTTAAATTTTCATCAAGAGGAGAGGTCCGTGTACAAGGCAGCTGCCTGTGCAAGACCTATAACCCCACTGTGTTCACAATGAAACCGCAAATAAAGTTGCAGAACATTGGCCAAGGAATTAATAATTTAGCAACTGCTGAAGGGAAGAGTTTCTAAATTAAAAGCGTTTTTAAAACAAATCGGAGAAAAACCTTGGATCGAAGAAGGGCGTTCACAATCAGCACCTACCTACTTTCCCTAGAACGTTCGAGTTTATTTTGTTCTTGGTTTTGCTGTTGTTGTTTAGTGTTGCTGTGTTGGAACAATTTACGCCAAAAGCCAGAAAACAGTTTTAAGCCTGATACTTTATGTGCCCAATAGTCCTGTAATTGCGAGCGAGGGAAAAAAATGGTTGATGTCTTGTTAAGTTACAATTTGATCGATTGGAAACAGCTGTGTGCAGACAGGATTAACCTCAATTCCTTGTAAGGTCTCCAATTTGGTTTTAATGTTTTAAACAAGAAGTGCCAGCATTAAGATTACGAAAAGAACCGCGTCGTTTGTTTAATTTTAATATCTTATTCAAATTAATTGTTTGCTTCGGGAAAAATTTTCTAATTTCTGTCTTTATGCTGTTTGCAAAGTCTGAGAAATAATTTTTCGACCGTTATGCCATGGAAATACTATATTTGAAAGCCATTTTTTCTTAGAACTAAAAGTAATGACCAATATAGAGCCAGCCGGTTGTATACTGTAAAACAAAGATGTGGAGGAAAAAGGTTAATATCAGGTTTCTTTAGATAACATTGGGAGGTTCGAGATATTAAAACTCTCGAATTCTTTTTCATTTAAATTTAATTGAACTTCTGACATAGGGGTGATAATGCATTTCTTGAGTGGTAGATATGGTTAATTAATCTAGCCACCTGCTGGCACAAAAAGACTTACGAGAGTGCATAACTTACCTTCTACAGCATTTCCGAACGAAAGAACTGCGAAGTATATATAATAAGAGAAATACATATGGTTTAATTAAAACAGTTGTCCTTAATTTGGCAGTAATAAATTATTGTCGTAAGATCTTACAGACGGAAAGTGCAGATAGTTACAAAATTCGCGTGGGAATCAGATGCAGAAATGCGACACCAAAGAGCCAAAAAAGATTGAAGATCATTCTTCAATTAGAGGCGTCGTCTCTGCAGGTTAGTTTGAAAATTTCGGCGCTAGCACGTATGAAAGTCAGAATGAAAATAACCTTTTAACTGCTTCTAAAACGATTCTTATCAATGACATAGTCAACAGCGGGGTGTTACAAACCACTCTTATCTTGAAGGACACTGGAATTAGTAATATTTTGCTTCGCTGTTTCATAATTCCTCCGGTGATTTGAAACTTTCTTTAATTTCAAGTCAAGAATGTTAGAAAATAAAATATTAATATAAAAGGCGTGGGTAAGAAATACTTTTTATTACAAATGTCATGCAAAAGGAAGCAAAAGAAAAGAATAAAGTTAGCTACGCTTTTTTGAATAAGTGTCGTATTGGTAATTCATGGGTAGAAGTAACCAAAAACTACTCAATGTAAAATTATTGCATCATACTCACTCAAAACAAGCCCAATGATTATTGTTCCATTTGCAGTTTCATCGTCAAGGAAGGATAGATTCAGGTCAGATTTTTTCGTACGTGGATTCATCATTGAACCTGGGTTGATAATATAATGAACTTTTTGATTGAGGAAGGTTAGAGATTTCCTTCTTTCCTCGATTAATTGATTAGAGGTGTTAATAACAAAGCCAACTGTTAAGTAGCCCTGTCTTGCCAGTGCTTGCCTTCCGAATCACCCAGAAGGCAATCAAGTTATTATCTTGTCATGCCTTTATGTTGACTTTGCCAGCTGTCATTACGGAAACCATATTAAAAGGAAAATAAAATAATATAATACCATACCAAATATGGTTTTGGCTCCATAAAATGGTTCCTAAAGTCTAACATATACATTTAAATGAGAAATTAAAAAGGCATATTACTTGAATATTTCTCCGAAAAGCCTAATTTACTAAATTACACCTTGGTTCGTAGCATTGCGTTAGTTTTCAATTCAATTGTTTTCAGTCATAGTAAGAAAAACCACGACAAAAAATTAAGTTGTGTTATTTATTTCCTAGGGTTCGTGGCCGGTGTGATTGAAGTACCTGTGTGATGTGGATGATTAACGCTGGCTGTAGAGAGAAGAAGAAAAATATATATACTGCTGTTGGAAACGCCTTACTGCCTGATGCAGTATAGAGAATTCTTGTGAGAATGACAAAATCAACGATGTCAGCAAGAGAATTGAAGAAGCAAACGTTGAAAGCAGTTTACATGAGTAAATAAATAAATGGTCCAAAAAGGTTTTCAAAGAATAGGTGATGCCAATATAAGTTAAAGAAAAGGAAAAATCACTCTCACTGTAAAGTTTACAAAATGATGGTCATTAGACGTGGAAAGAAGTCATTTAAAAAGCATGAAAATCGTGCGTTATGACCATTAACAAACTTTAATCAGCGAACGACCTAAAAAGTAAAGGCGAATTTAATAGAACAACTTAAACAGATTTCATTCAGTTTCATTTCTCAAAACTGTTTTTTGTTTACTTTAAGACAAAATCCATTAGGAAATTGAGAAATGTTAATTTTCAGTGGACAGAAACCTTTTACCAGAATAACTTCAAGCATATTGCATTCTTTTTCACACTTTTTAAGGGCTATAAATGTAATAAGTTGTATGAAATAACTCCGAAGAAAAGGTTCTAATTGGAGCCCTCTGAAAATTAAAATTATTGAGTTTCTTAATGGATTCCATCTTGACACTTTCAGCTGGTCGCAATAGGCCAGGAGACGCTTTCAGTCTAAATACAGTTTTAGAAAGTAGCTTCCGAGCAAAGAGCGCTCGAGAATTTCTAGATTTATTGTAATTATTGTAAAACTGTATGTTGTCGCAAAGCAGTGCATATAGCCTCATGTATGGTAAATCGGATTCCGGAATCTGAGAAATTTTGACTGTGAAATCTGGAATCCTGGGCTTTGGAATCCGGATTCCCGCTGACAATTGAGATGCGGAGTGCAAGTTACCCTAAGATAGAATCGAAAATTCAGTACCTGAAATTCGGAATTTCACAAAATTCTACACTTAGAAAGAGAAAAGGTCAAGAACGGCTTCGAGAAGTCCGCAAATTTTGAAAAAATCGCAAAAGTAAGAAGAATTTTTCCTGCTATGTGAAAAGATTGAGCAACAAATATGGCAAAAATAGCAAGAATAACAAATTTCACAAAATTCTACACTTAGAAAGAGAAAAGGTCAAGAAGGGCTTTGAGATGTCCGCAAATTTCGCAAAAATCGCAAAACTAACAAGAATTTTTCTTCCCATGTGAAAAGATTGAGCAACAAATATGGCAAAAATAACAAGAACAACAAATTTCACAACATTCTACACTTGGAAACAGAAAACGTCAAGAAGGGCTTCAGTAAGTCCCAAAATTTCGCAAAAATCGCAAAAGTAGCAAGAATTTTTCATGCTATGTGAAAAGATTGAGCAACAAATATGGCAAAAATAATAAGAATAACAAATTTCACAAAATTTTACACTTAGAAAGTGAAAAGGGCAAGGAGAGCCTCGAAATACGGCAAAATGCCACAAATTGGCTAGAGTAACAAGAATATAATAGGCAAGAATTGTTGACGGGCGAGAAAGGAGCCAAGAAAACCCGCGCATCACTGTTTTTGCCTAATACTAATGGTTATTTCAAAAGGAATACGTTCTTGTCCAGTTTTGTAATGCGTTCCATTTTCGCGTAAATGAAATCATCAGTTACAAACGTAATAATTTGTAATTACTGACAGTAGCAAAGTACTGTAATATCAATCTGTGTATGCTTAGTTCTTCCATCAACGTACAGCTACAATGCATAGAAAGGAGTGTCGCTCACAGAAGGGGGCAAATTTTAGGCAATAAAAGGGGGTGGTAGTAGAACTTTTCGTGGCTAAGAACCCACCATAACGATCTTTCCAAAATATCAAGAATAGCACATTGGGGGAAAAGAAAACGGGTCATAAGATCGTCGCATTATAAATGAATGTTGCAGTGCAATACCCATAGTTTTTTAAACAGGGATTGCCGAAAGTAACAAGCGATATTTCTCATGGATTTTTTGAGCTAGCAAGAAAAATCCTTGTTACTTTTGCGATATTTGCGGACGTTTCGGGGCCCTTCTTGGTTTCTTCTTTTTCTAAGTCTAGAATTTTGTTACATTTGTTATTTTTGCCATTTTTGCGATATTTGTCACGAGTGTTTTTAGCTCGCAAGAAAAATCCTTGTTACTTTTGCGACTTTTGCGATATTTACGGACATTTCGGGGCCCTTCTTGGCTTCTTCTCTTTCAAAGTCTTGATTCTTGTTGGATTTGTTATTCTTGCGATTTTTGTGATATTTGTAAGTGATTTTCTGACATAATTTCTCCTCAATTATTTCTTTTGCGATAATTGCGAAAAAATTTGCTAGCAAATGGATTGGGGACCGAGCATGTTTTTATTCGAATAAAGATGGTATTGTTTCTGTATGCCCTCGTATTTTTGCGATCAGCTACCACCTACAAAACTACTGAGCATATTTAGAGGGGGGAGAGGGGTTACTTAAGGATGAAGGCTTATAGTTCAGAATTCCCAAGAGCCAGCTATTGCCGCGGGTTCTGGATAATCAAACAGTGTGACACGAAGTGCACACAGCGTTGTAGGGCAAATGTTACAGAAAAATTTTGCGAGTTCGGTTGACTGAGAGAAGGGTGAATGTCTCCATAAGCAATGAGCTGGAAGCCACAAAAAGGATGGTTGCTGTACACAGTATATAGGCGTGAGGAGTGTTTTTGGTATAAATGCGCGCAAGTTACTTGATGTACCTATACCAACAATACATTTACATTTCATTTTATTTATTATCTAATATTTAGACGACATACATTTTGTTTTTTTTTTTGGTTTTTGTTTTTTTGTTGTTTTTTTTTTCAATTTTTTCAATTTTTATTATTCACACTATTATAAAATATTTACATTATATATAGTAAGGTAGGAATACACTAATAAAGGAGAAGAAGAAGGAAAAAAGAGAAAATTAATGGCTTGGGTAGAAGTGAACGGTGGTCAGAGGAGCTTAGCTTTCGAGCTAACCACCGCTAACCACCGCTTCCAGACGCAAAAAATAAAAGACAAAAGTACTGGAAAAACAAAATACGAAAGTGCGTAAAGGAAATATTACCTAAGTAGTAAAACAAAATTCAATTTTTTTGTATTTTTTTCCGTAGAAACCTGCTTTCTTATAGTATCCACAACGCCGTGTAATGGGCAAAAAGGGGAGGTTCCATGTATTTACCACTTCTTAAGTGATTTTTTTATTCATGTGGTGACTAAAAATTGTAATTTTAATTTAGATAACTTTGCAATTATCAATTGCTTTCTACCTGCTATGCATTCTACAATAGACGGTTTGACAGAAATACAAATGTAGACAATGATTACATCTTATAGTGTTTGTTAGCTAAATTGATCATAAATATAACAATTAATTCTTTTTTTCTTAGCTTCCCGAGTGTTATTTTTGCCTAAACTTCGTTAGTGTTTATCTCGAGATTTAGTTTATCCCTCAGAATAAACATGGTTGATGAAAACTACTCTCGGCTATTTTTCTGCGCGTATTACACCTTAGGTGGACTCTCCAAGGTAACAAACATGTAGTTGTAATTGAATTTGGAGCTGTTGGGGACCTGTGACGTCATAATTACTTTATATCGGCCACCATCTTGAAATGTACTGAGAATTTCGATTCATGCATTCAGATCAGAGTTTGCAATCTGAGCATTTCTTGTTTTCAGGGTCTAAATCATTTCTTTACTGCGCTTTTCACAAACACGCAAACTCTAAAGTTCAAAAGCCGCCTTTGCACACAATTGTGTTTT